GCCTCATATAGATGTTAAACAGCATTTGGGAGATAGTCGACCCCTGTGGAACCCCACAGTTGAGGCTCCACGGGGCCGAGACACTCTCCCCAAGCTGCACTCTCTAGGGGCGGTCCTCCAAAAAGGAGCGGAACCAGGCCAGAGCCAAGCCACCGATACCCAACTCAGAGAGCCCCCCCAGGAGGATACCGTGGTTGACGGTATCAAAGGCTGCTGAGATGTCGAGGAGGATCAACAAACATGTTTTACCCGTCGGCCTCCCTCAACAAGTCATCGTACAGGGCGACCAATGCCGTCTCTGTACCTTGGCGTGGCCTGAAGCCCGACTGAAATGGATCCAGGGCATCTGTTTCATCCAAATGTGCCTGAAGCTGGTCAGCCACCACCCTCTCGACCACTTTGCTCATGAAAGAAACATTGGCGATGGGCCTATAATTGCCAATTTCGTCCGCCGTCAAACTAGGTTTCTTTCTTACGGACCTAATGAGTGTCTCTTTGAGGGCAGAGGGAAACCTGCCCTCAAGGAAAGACCCATTTATTATAGCAGTGGCCCATTCTGTTGTTATTGGCCTGGATGCTTTGATTAGCCAGGCCGGGCAAGGGTCCAAAGAGGAGGTGGTGGCTTGACAGCGATCAAGCACCCTGGCCACAGAATCAGGCGTGACAGGCTGAAAGGAGTCAAGAGTTACCGGGCAAGATGGAGCGCTGGACATCTCTGCTCGACTCACTGTGTTCAAAAAAGGAGAGAGGTCCTGGCGGATGGCCTCCACTTTAGATTTTAAACAGGCTGCAAACTGGTCAGGTGAAAAACTAGGGCGAGGCCTATCAGCCAGACCAGGAAGGAATAACTCCCCCTGCTGGTTGGACGCTTCGCTTATATGGTTAGCGAAGTAAGTTCAACAAGCAGCCTTTACTCTAGACAGGTAAAGGTTAGTTGCGACCCTGACAGCTATCCAATTGTGACCCAGGGACCCAGAAAACCCATTTTATCATTCTCCAACAGATAGTCCCATGATACCCTTGGAATACAAGGACTTTGCTGATGTCTTTGAGGAGAAGGGGGCTGACCAGCTTTCCCTGCACCGACCCTATGATTGTACTATCAATTTGGTGCCTGGGGCACCCCTTCCTGTGGGGATCTACCCTAAGTCTGAACCAGAACTCGCTGCCTTGCGGGCCTTTCTTGATAAAAACCTGAAACAGGGATTCATCCAGTCATTTATGCCCCCCCCCGTCTGCACCCATTATCTTTGTTAAGAAGAAGGGCGGAGAGCTCCGCCCCTGCAATGATTACCAGACCTTGAATAAAATAACCCTTCGAGACTGTTACCCCCTGCCTTTGATCCACAAACTTCTAGATTGCCCTAAAGGGGCACGCATTTATACCAAATTGGACCTCCATGGCACCTATAATTTGGTGCGAATCCGGGCTGGCGACAAGTGGAATACAGCTTTCAGAATTCGTTATGGCCAGCATGAATATCTGGTCATGCCTTTTGGTCTAACCAATGCTTTGGCTGTGTTCCAGCGTTCATGAACGTCATCTTTCGGGATCTGCTTGATCGCTTTTTGATCATCTATCTGGATGACATTTTGATTTACTCCCAAGACTCTGCTCGACACACGGAACAAGTTCGTCAGGTCTTACAACAATTACGAGACCACCCACTCTATGCCAAGCTGGAGAAGTGTTAATTCAGCTTGCAGGAAGTCAAGTTCCTAGGTCACATTGTATCTCCCCAAGGGATCCAGATGGACCCAAAGAAATTAGAGTTGGTTCTCACCTGGCAGAAGCCCCAGAACTATAAGGATGTGCAGCAGTTTCTCGGCTTCGTGAACTATTACCGCCAGTTCATACCAGCCTACGCGGATATAACCACACCACTGACCCGCCTCCTCTGACCCAAAGAGCCCTTTCTTTGGACTCCGGAGGCAGACCATGCTTTCACCACACTAAAAACCCACTTTACCACCAAGCCAATTCTGTGCTATCCAGACCCTCGACTACCGTTTCCTGTGAAGACGGATGCCTCCAGTGTCACTCTGGGTGCAGTACTGTCCCAGCGGGAGGACCCCTTACAGCCACTACAGCCCTGTGCTTTCTACCCCCAGAACGCAACTACACCATCTGGGAGCGGGAACTCTTGGCCATCAAAATCACTTTCAAGGTCTGGAGGCATTATCTTGAAGGGGCCCATCACCTTCTCCAAGTTTTGACGGACCACCAGAACCTGAACATTTGCAGACAGCCCAACGCCTTAGTCAACGCCAGATCCAGTGGTGTCTTCTCTCGGTTTGACTTCCGCATTACCTGACACCTTAGTCAACGGCAGATCCAGTGGTGTCTTCTCTTGGTTTGACTTCCGCATTACCTACATGTCGCATACTCGGAATCGGAAAGCCGATGCCTTGTCCTGCAAACTGGAATACGCTGTTCCAACCTCTGAAGAGTCTCCGACTACACCTATCCTATTGCCTTCAGTTTTCGCAGTCACTATTACCTGCTCGTCCCTGGCTGAAGAAATTTAAGCCTGCTGAGCTCAAGATCCCTGGGCCAAGCAACGCTTGCAGGAACTCCAAAAGGCCCATGCTAGAGACTTTACTAACCACCAGGGTCTCCTATTACACTGTAGACACCTGTACGTTCCTCCAGGGCCCCTCCGAACCAACGTGCTCTATCTGACCCATGATTTCCCTCCTGCAGGACACTTTGGTCAATACAAAACCCTGCACTTACTCATATGGGAATTCTGGTGGCCCCGGGTTCGAGCTGACGTCACCTGTTACATGGATTCCTGTGAGGTTTGTTGTCGAGTTAAGTACATACCGGCCAAACCTCCAGGGCTGCTACAACCATTACCTGTACCAGCCGGCCCTTGGGACACAGTATCCCTAGACTTCATCACGGATCTCCCATGATCACAAGGGTATACCTGTGTTCTGGTAATAGTGGACCTGTTCACCATTTTGTCCCATGTTCCAAGCCTCCCACAGCTCCTGAAACAGCCCAGATCTTTCTTCACCATGTTTTCCGTCTCCATGGGCTCCTGACACACTTAATTTCCGATCGTGGTTCCCAATTTACCTCCCGGTTCTGGCTAGCCTTACACAACAGTTTGGGTACCTAAGTGCACTTGTCATCAGTGTATCACCCCCAAACAGATGGACAGACTGAGCGTACTAATGCCACTCTTCAGCAATATCTCCATTGCTATACCTGCTATCAGCAAGATGATTAGGCTACCCTGCTACCCCTGGCTGAATTTGCCTGCAATAATGCCATACACTCATCCAAAAAACAGACCCAGTTTGCAGCCATCTATGGGTACCACCCTCATTTTCCAGTTTCCGTATTCACCCAGTTTTCCATCGGTCCCGCCTTGTTCCTGTTGCAACACTGGATCCTGCCCGACCTCCACCCCTGGCTCCACCTCCACCTGTTTTGGTTGATAGCGAGGAGGAATATGAGGTCCATCAGATCCTGGACTGCCGAATCCACCGTGGAGGCCTTCAGTACTTCATAGATTGGGAGGGTTACGGCCCTGAGGATTGATCTTGGGAACTCGCTAGTAACTTACACACCCCCAATCTTGTACAGCAGTTCCATGTCACCTATCCTGATCGACCCGGCCCATATGAAGCTACCAACATGAACTTGACTGAACTCCGGGAGGCAGTGGGAGACAGGAGTGCCTGGCGTGCTCTGGTCCATGGGGTCACGAAGAGTCGGACACGACTTAATGACTAAACAACAACAAATGTGTGGGTTTGAGCCTATCCTTTGCCTGAAGAGTTTCCCAGGTTCAATCATCAATTTTTATTTATTTATTTAATTTATATCCCGCCTATCTGGTCGGGTCAGGACCACTCTAGGCCACTCTGGTCGGGTCAGGACCAACACCTCCAGGTAGGGTTTGGAAGGAATTCTACTTGAAACCATGGCAATTTGCTGGATATCAGTATTGACAAGATTGGACAGGCGGGACCAACAGTCTGACTCACCACAAGGCAGCTTTCTATGGAATATACAAGTCCTGTATTCACATGACTTACCGCAACAATTATCTGTGCAAAGGAGTAGCAATGTTAATTCCTGCAACTAACAACAAAGGGTCCTTTGGCATCTTGAAGGAATACACTGTAGCATGAGCTTTCACGGACTACAGCCCATTTCATCAGATCACACACTAGGCCCTTCATTATTTTTAAAACAGTTCTGATAACTCTCCAAATATCAAGTGCTGTATTACTATGTACAGGTCTCTCTGTAAATCAAAAGTTCAAACACAGAAACATTCACTACAATACATGTATGTATGAACAAATTAGAAATGTCTATGGAAGTAGAGGCACTAGTACGAGCTTGATTGTTATGTGTGATGTGCAAGGGAAAACAATTTTATTTTCAGGTCACGATTCATTTGCAAAGGGGGAGTAGGTATGCTTTTATTTGGGACAAAAGGCACAAGCACATTGTAGCTAATGGTAAACTGAATTTATTTCCTTTTGGAAAACCATTCCAGTAATCTCCAGGTTCAGACTGCAGAGTAAACATTAATAACAGTAACATACAGGTTAGTTCAACTGATTCAAAAATTTGGCCATGTGACATCATTAAGGAAAAGTCTTGAACACTCAAAAGCTTCAAATGGTATCCAGGAAAAAAAATTCTTTGACAATCTACATAACAACTATTGCATATATGGTAATGCTATCTGTCATATCGCAAGGCTTACAAATATATATACAGGCCATATTCAGCTGGGGGATTCTGCTTGGAAAGGTGTTTTTTTTTTTTTTTTGGCAAGAATTTTCAGCAATAAAAATACTCTTGAATTCATCCGTTGTATACCAAAAGAGAGAGATTGTAGACATAAGCGAGAATGAAAGGAAGGCCAAATAGGGTTGTAAGGTATCACTGTGATTTCTTTCCCCCCTCTTTCTTTAAAATATCATTTCCTTAAGCCATTATTTCCATTATATGCCATTATTATCATTATTCCTTAATCCTGCTTGAATAGGGCCCAAGTCCACTTGTCTTTATAAGACCATTTTAGTATCAGACAACATAATACATGTGCAACACTTTATATACAGGAAGTCTCTCTGGTGCTCAAAAGTTCAAACACATGAACATCCAACGGTTTTGATAATACAAGTTGTATGGTACAATACAATGTTTCTGAATAATATACATTAACAATGAAAGTCTCGTGCAAAGATTAAAACATGTTCCCTTTTTCATGTGTGTGTGTGTCCTGCAAAGAATCCTCTCCCGATGAACTGGGCCTTGCACTAACTGCTATGCTGGGTCATTGTATGATTCTGCAAGAAAAAATAAAAGATGACATGCTGTTATTGTAGAGCTGAGAAAACAAAATATGTTAGCAAGGCTACAAAAAGACTGTATAAGAGGGAATCATAGTATGTCACTGTATTAGGTGGCCAAGGTAAACCTGGATGTGAAAAAAACCCAAAAAAATAAACAAAGGAAAAAATTTCGCTTTACACTGAAAAGGCACCTTACGCTGAGGTCCAAAACAGAGCTGTCTATTCACACATATGCTAAACTTGTACTGCCAGCACAGAATATGTATTTATTAAATTGAAGACAAAACCCATGGGCAGGTCACATGCACTCTTCCAAGATAATTCTAAAGACTAAGGCAATGTGCCTTAGTCTTTTCCACCTATAGAAAGGGTCACAGGTTCATCCTGGAAAATCCACTTATGACATGTTTGAAAATAAATATTCTTTGTGTGGATAATTCCACAGGTACAATATGTTTTCAAGTGTACTCATGGAAAGAATATCCTCTAAGTTTAGAATGAGAGTCTGATATGAGACCCACAGTAAAACCGAATGTGTCTCTACCGGTATGTGACTCCTTTAATATATCTGAAAGCAGTAACAGCTACACACTTAAGAACACTTAATAGGGCATACATTCCACTGAAAACTGTAGGCCCTATCTTGGAGAAAACACACTTAGAATTGATCCACAATGCACTAAGTACCACACAGTGGTTAAAATCCTATTGCTTAGGATGGTAAGTCACAACTAGAGTAGGTCCATTTGAATCAATGGGGCTTATGGAGGACTTGACTCACCAAATCCCCACTGAGTCAATGAAACAACTCTTGTATTATTTACTATGTTAAGCAACAGGATTTCAGGCAATGTTTCAAAAATTAACTAGGGTCCTGTGCGTAGGTCTAATAGCAAACACTATACCATTTGACTTCACAAATGTTGCCTTCCATGCCAAGGCTGTAAAAGAGTGATAGGCTGAAAGTAGTAACTATTACATGAAGAAATGTTGGTTTAAATTCAGCATGACTAAAAAATAGTCTAGTTCATTGTAATTCTTCAGTATATGCACATTTCCATTGTAATGTTCAAAACGATATGCTCATGGTCAAACTAAAAGAGTACACATAGTTCCATGGGATGGATATCATATTATGAGATTCAAAATATAAATGAGTGTTTTGTGAATCCACAGCACCTGCTTCTATTTAACATCCAAATTATCTTTTGTTGTCTACACAGAGATAATTCCAATTACTGAGGCAGATAAGACATGATGTTCTGAAGGAGAAAAACTGGTAAGCTTGTTTCACTCTCTCACAGAATGTGGGAGATCCCCCCTCATCAGTGCTGAAGTGCTGAATTTTCAAACTCAAAACTTTTTCCTGAGTAAGAGGAGCGAAAGATTAACAACCCTGAAATGTGCCACTGCCTTAGGGTCGTAACATTTATAGCCCTGCTGGATTCAAGATTTCCTTCTTCTTCCTGCCAATCAAGGATTATATCTTAAATGTGATCAGGTCATGGGATTACAGTATCAATCAGATTTGGCTCTTTCACTATGGAATACAAACTGTTTTTACTCTGAATAAGGTTGAATGCAGTAATGCTTCTTCATTGCTCAGACAACTGAGCTAATAACTTCTTTTCTGCTATGCCGATCAACATACAGCAATATATTTGCTCTGATACCGGCCCAGTAATCATGCAGAGTTAATTGACAAAGAGTATAGACAGTGGTGCAGAAACGGCTATGGCTGTTTATCCATTTGAACTGCATGACTGGGATGAGAATTCCGTTTTGCATCTAAACCAGATCTTGTAAAAGTTTCTTTTCTGAAGCACAACTCCCAGAATCTTCCTCCAGCCAATAGAACAAGTGGCTGCGAAAGTCACAGAGCAACCAAGCTGGATAGAGGAGAAATCTGGGACTCGTAGTTTCAAGAAGTAACTTTTGCAGCTCTGAACCCAATGCACACCCCCATCTGACCCTAGCCAACAGCGGGAGCAGACTGCCAACGTGAATGCTTCAGGAAGAAGACATGAAGAGAAAAGAAAAATCTGAAAAGTCATGTTCAAACCAATCTGTTTAAAGCTCAGTATATTTTGGATCAAAAGACTCTTCCTCGGGGGGCAAGTGAGCCTGTTTCAGCACAAGAGCAACTTAAATGGCAGTACACTTTATTACATTCTTTTCCCTCAAACCGTATCTATGTGTAAAACTGCTGTAATGTCGAAAGGACCCATGTGTCCTAGTGCTTCAAGTCCATTGCCAGTCCTTTAATTATCCTAATGCACAATATGCACTCTTTTCTCAAAGTCTGTAGATGCTATATTGAGCCCTACACATTTACAAGGCTCCTCTTGCCCACTATAGCAGATGGACCACTGTGTACACATGAGGCTCTTTTTTCTGCCCTAGCCAACAATAGCAGAGCAAAAAGAGCTGCCGTGCTGGATCGTAGCCTATGTGTTTTAATGAGACCCCCTACCTCCTTTTTTAAAAAACTCTGAGTCACATGTGGCCAGTTTAGGGTTTTGAAAAGCCACACAGCAGTATGCGACACACTTGAAAGTAGGTTTTCATGTGTGCTCAGGACTCAAAACTACAATGATTTTTAAATTAAAAAACCCCTACGAAGGCACTAAAGTGGAAGGTACAAAATAAACGGCTTTACTGTCTTGCTCAGGCCTGCTTTAGTGTCCCACTGCTGATACGGCTTGCCGCACAATAAGTGTCTCAAGAGATAACAGAGATACAAACTCAGGGAAAAGTGATGGGGAAAGTCACTGAGGAAACCAGGGTAGCAACATGAGATTGGATCCAGAAAAGCACAAATGATATTCAGTCCACACAAAAAAGGTCTCCAGGCCCCTTCTTCCCATTAAAATTCCCTCAGCTGTTCTTGAGAGTTGGGGGAAACCTACAGAATGGTACAAAAGGGGTTAAGCAGCAGGGGGAGGATGTGGACTGATGACATTCAAGATGAGTACAATCCTTTTTGAATCTAAACCAGAGTCAATTTGTCGAACATGGGTCTGTGAGGACTTAAGTGGCCTCTCCATTTTAAAATATGTTTAGTCAACATGCATGTAAGAACTGTATATTTTAAGAGCAATAATAAGCCAGGGAAAAATACCTGGCTGGGAAGAAATACTCTCTGAGCAGACCATAGTTGTAACATTTATGAGGCAAAAAGTTGAAAGATGGAAGGAAGGGGAAACATTTTTTTAATCCTGCAGAGAGCCACATTATAAAAAACAAAGAAAAAAGAGAGAGCTCTCTATTGGAGACCCCATGTCTAAGTGACTGAAAAAGTGCAACCATTAATCCCAGTGATGAACTGTTGGAAGTTTTGTTTTAAGGGTTTTTTATATATATATAAAGAAGGTTGTGTTTAAAAATTTAGGACAAAATGTTCCTCTATTATCCACACAGTAGATCTCAAGTCTGATATTCTCTTCCTGCCATGGGTTCAGGACTCCCACTTCCATGACAATGGGAGTTGACACAAATGGGGAAATCAGAAGATGGAGCTCCTGTTGACATGAACATGGGAGTTTTCAGTGCACAGAGAGAACCAATATTAGAGTTAAAAGCTTCTGTGTAACTCTAAGAATGGAATTTGCCCTTCACAGGACACAGACTATATTTAAGGCAGATACTTTAACATTGCTCCTTTGGAAAACATGCAGTACTAAATAACTTCCCTGAGTGTATCATTCCATTTTTCTCTCTCCCTCCTCCTTGCCCTCCACTCTACTCACAATTCAACAAACCCAAAGGTGGTAACCCTATTACTTTCTTTTACACTGGCTCATTATTGCTGAATCTCCATTGTATATCTTCAAGACTTTTTCTAATAGTATAACTTTTTTAAAGATTTGCTGTAGTTATTGCCATTTTGAAGAGGAGGATACGAAGATTCAAATTAATATCCTTTTTCAGTTGTGAAATTGTTATTTTTTGATTTGTCATTTTTACTAGACAATCTCACTCCCTTCTCTCTCTCATCACCCCCCCAACACACAACTAATCTACAAAGACTTTCAGTTTCACTAAAGTAAACTGTGTGCACAACTTGGTGGTGCAATAATTTAAAACTGCATATGAATCAAATAAAACTGGGCACTTAAAAAAAAGCTGACTAGAGAGTTCTAATTTCACACAGTCGTGACACCAGCACATCCACATGCCCAAGACCCTAAGACCGTACGTGCTGAACCATTCAAGGGCCTAAAGACTCAATGAAATCAATGAGACCTCATACCTGCATAATCATATACTCATCCCTTTCAGATCCAGAATTTGCCAGTTCTTTGTACCCCTCACAATCTGCAGAAACAGCTTGCAGCTTTATATTTTGGACTGTGCACACTTCCATGCACCAAAAAACAAACAAACAAACAAACTCATGCACCCCCCCCCAAAAAAAACCCCAAAACAAAATAAAAAACCCCTCATACCTGTTTTTCCCCACTGTGTTCTACTCTGTTAAAAGAATTTCCAGCTTTCAGTGCAACAATGGCTAAAAAAAATTTCCTTGAGAAAAGACAGGTATGAGTATGTGTGTTTGCTGTCGCCAACTCTTTCTTAATCTGAACTAAATTCTTAAGGGAAAGAATCTCAGAGGAAAATCAAAGGGAGGGAGAGAGAGCTTTAAAAAATGCTCCCAAGAAAAGAAGCTCCCACTAATTCACTACTCCATTAGAATCCCTAATGTGAAGTGCTGTTGCTTTCAATTTAAATGAGACATTTTGAAGCTGAATGAAATGAATGCAATTGTTTCTCAAAAGCAGATTATAAATAAAGAAATATAAAGATTAAATGGGGATGTTATTGTTCAACAGATGGTGGCAATATCACAGCAGTATGTTTTTTTCCCTGTCTCCTTAATTCAAGAAAACGAACCGGCAGTAATCAATCATCAGCGATTAACTAATTATGGCAGGCAAACATTTTACAATTCATGGGAAATCTACATTTTAAACGGCTCTTCCAGCTTCTCTCTC